TTCTTAATTTCTTTTCTCTTCAACTCTTCTTAAACCACATTTTGGGTCTATTTCTAACTCCTAACTAGAGACCTAGTTCCTAATTTTACAGGATCCCTAACAGACGAAACTTCAAGTTGTTTAATACCTTTAAACCAATTTTTGAAGTTTTTTTTTTTTACTTCCACTTTTAGTTTTCTTTAGAAACACATAGTAGACTGTTCCATGCCTACATGTCTGAAAAATTACAGAATTTTTTCCTGCATTAAATTTTTATGTTATTCTAACTTCAAACTTACCTAATTTTACTGGACGACCAGGTTGGTGGGTCACGGATTTGGGCAAAACTTTTTTAGGTGGTTTTTCTGATATAAGGTTTTCTTTACATAAATAATAGTTTCAGAAGATGAGCAAACTCTCGAAGTAGCTCGAAACATCGACAATACTATTAAAGAAAAAAAAATACAGTTTCAAATAAAAAGGAACACGTGCTCATTATTAAAAAATGATTTGAGTAATTAGAACGACGAAATAAAAATATTAAAAAACGGAAAATTTAAATTTTCACAAAAGATTTTTTGTTGCGAAATCAGGGCTTTCCACAAAAAGTGGCGGTTACATGTCCATTATTTTGGAGTGTAGAATCAAAAAACGTTTGGTCCAAACCAAATTCGTGACCCACCAACCTGGTCGTCCAGTAAAATTAGGTGAGTTTGAAGTTAGAATAACATAAAAATTAATGCAGGAAAAAATTCTGTAATGCCTAGTTAGACTTTCTTTTTCAATTGGTTAAAATAATTAATAGATCAATTATGACTATTAAATATATATGGGTTAGTTAAAACTAATCTGTTTTCAATTTGTCACTCTTCATATTCTAATTTCCCACCTTCATGTACCTTACGTTTTTTACTTATGGTAGACCTTTATTCATTGCTCTTCAACTTACACTTCCGAATTCCCCATTTCCAACTCGAACCGACCTATTTATCACATCTAATTACCATTCTTCTCCGGCTCACTTTCTCCATGTACCTTTATTTGAGAACCTCCCACACTCTCCTACAAACCCTTATTCATTTAACCATATATTTCAAGATAAGAACAAAAAAGAGGCTATTTCGATCTGCCTCAATTCCTTTGTTATACCCGAAATACTCGTAATATCCTGTACTCTTTTGCTGTAAATTTCTCAAAAGCCTCTTCCGTACTATTATTTTGTAGGTCTTACATTTGCTTTTTACTCATTATTTCGGATTACTTCATCTCTATTCTATCCTTTTTCCTTAATTACTCGTCTTTTTATTTTTAACAATTTCACTTATTCCTTAGTTCTTGCTCTTTCGTTCATCGCATCCTGTTTTACCCGCATTTATAAATCGGACGATTAATCAGGTGTTGGATTAACGACGACGTTCTCCAGGACGGGGGCCGCAATCTAAATTTTCCGGAGCTGAAAGTGGTTTATCTAGACCATTTAGCAGTTCCGTATTTCAGACATAGGCTTATGTGTTTTAAGTGTCCTTAAGTACGTAAATATCGTAACTTTTTCTTTAAACAAAACCTGTTCATTATTGTGATAATCGTAAATAACTTTTTTGTAATTTTATTGCTAAAGTTTTCACAATGTATTAAATTAAAGGAGAGTTAAGTCAAAGTTTAAGTTTAGTTTAAGCAGAATGTTCAGAATTTGTTTTACCTTTAATTTGATCGTTACCGAACATTTTGTCCGGCCAATCATCGCTGGTCGTCTGAACCAAATTACAAGTTCAGCCCCCCGCAGACCGGATGAATTTCAGTCTTTCCTCATCTGAAAAAGTACAATACCATAATTCCTATAAATCAATTGACATTTTCAGTACTTTTTGGCAAAATCCAAGCTTTTCTTGGTACATTTTTGTCGTAAGCCAACTTATCAACTCCTATTTCAAATGGAACTAAATTTACAAAGTCGAGAAGGTATTAGGTCAAAGGAGTCATATATCATTGAATATATTCTGTTATTAAATCGGTAATATTCACCTTTTTATGTATTCAAGGTAAATGTAATAACTTTGAATGTTACTCCTATATTGTTCTCATTTAAAAATGCTTACTCCTCGCCTATGCTGAAATAATTAATATACAATACCTCATTAGAAACGGTGTGTATAGAAGGAAAATAATATTTAAATGTCAAATATTCCCCTTGATCAAATAATACATGATAACTTTGCTGTTTAACATGTATAACCTAGATAAATTTGATATAAATTAATTATGAGACTTTTATAATATGGATGGTGTCTCTAAAACGATAACTACTCATGCTTAAATAATATTACAATATTTGTTTCTCTATTAAGGTTTCATGTCACGTTTCTACCTACCATTTGGTTTTATTATTACGTTACAACAGCGCTAAGCAAATTTATTGTATTTATTCCGCCACAACAATTTCCTCACTAGGGAAGATATCGTGAGGCCATTGGGTTGGGATGAGGGTGTAAGGCCTGTATCTGTATTTGGACTTCTGTGTAGGATCGTAAGGTCGTATACAAAGTAGGAAGTTTGGGCAATGTTTCGAAGGATTTTGAACAGGAGTGACTTGATTCTTTGCAGGTTAGAATTCTTGGCTGAACCCCACAGTTCAATTCCGTACATCCAGATTTGTTGTAGTGGTAATGTGTAAATGAGGCATTTGTTTTGTAGCCACAGTTTCGATCTGTCGTCATGTGGTCTTGTGAATCGGGTGTGGTGTTCCAAGTAAGCCTTTACCTATGTTAAGTACCAAATAGCGATGGCATTGGCTGCTGGATGAGGAACAGAATTGTTTTATATTAAAAAAGAGGTCAAGGTGTTGGTTTTGTTGAGTCTATTTTCCATTTCTTGAACCATTCTTCCTAACAGGATAAATGGTCCTGGAGGTCTCAGGCCACTACTTGGTGTGGATGGCGGTATTGTCTAAATTCGTGAAGTTATATATATATATATATATATATANGTCTGCGGTGTATGTTGAGAAAAGAATTGGACCAAGGATGTTGCTTTGCGGAACAAATTTTGTGCCAGCAGTCGCGGTTATTCATTAAGTCCTAGTTAATTGTTTTGGTAAAAATTATATTTTAATAGTCGAACTTATAATTGAAATTTATTGGGTGAAATCTTAATTGTAATTAGAGTTTTGGGTGGTGATATTTAAAGAATTGATTATAAAACTAGGATTAGTTCGGCATAGTGGTAATGGATGTACCGATTCGTACTTGAAAGTACCATCGAAATATCGTTTAGGATGAGATAATAACTGAATGAAAGAACACCCTTGAGTTGAAAAGATCGAAAACTTGTCTAACAACTGGGAAAACAATCTTGTACTCAAAGAAGGATGAGATGATGTCTACCACCCTGTGGCATTTTTTGCACGTATTCTAGATACTTTTTTAGGGTAACGAAAAACCGGACAAGGTGGCTAAGGCCAAGGGACGTTCCAACCTCTTGACCAGAAGAGCGTGATCCGGCCCTCTGACCCTAAAATTGCAACATGATTGAAAAGAAATGTATGCATCGGTGGGCTGGATGGCTACAGAGAAGCTCTCAGGTATCAAGCTCGGTCTATAGGTTGCTCTCAGAAGATTTGAATCGAAGAATCGGGATCACAATCACCCGGCTAAGAATAGGCCATGTGCGTTTGACACCCAAACAGCATTATTTTTGGACCAAAGTTCGCTTATGCGTTCGGCACGTAATTGAAGGATGTCATTCCTTGGCTCTAGAAAGTGGGTACGAATGCCACCCGAAATGAACTTCTGCTTGAGCATAAAGTTGTTAGTAGATATTTCTGGTTGTGTTTCTATTTGGGTGTATTAAGATTGAATGTATTTATTAGGGTGAATGTGTAGTGAGTGAGGTCCAACGGTGGAATATTAAGTTCTCCATCAAACTTAATTAGATTAGTTATGTAGTATGTATAAAGGGTGATGAAAGAATAACGAGTACGCTTCAACACACACACACACACACACACAGAGAGAGAGAGAGAGAGAGAGAGAGAGAGAGAGAGAGAGAGACTCACCATACACTTTAATTGAGTGAATTATATGGATATAAGAAATAATGCATTGAAGAATGTGTGAGAGTGTGATTGGGTCTACGATTTAAAACTGCAAACTGTGAAACAAATAAGACCGAGGAAGCCACTTCGGAAATTTTTTTTCAACTGATTGTGAATTTTTAAGTAATGAGCCAATTGGTTCTTATGCTTTTAGATTTGTGAAATTCCGCGTAATTCAAATATTAATGCACAATTCCAATCTCATTCTCGCTAATAAATACATTCTCGATAAATAATACTTTCTCGCTAATAAATACGTGTTTCAGCATTTCATTGAATTGAATTATACAATCCACACTCAAACGACATCTCTAGACCTAACACCTGCTCCTAGATTTTGTAGTACTACTAGTAGTTTTAATCTCTTTCAAATCCTATATAACTCTTTCAAATAGATCCAGCTTGTCATCCAGTGCCTCTGATATTGCATTTTGTATATCATATTTTTTCTGTAACAAATGATCAAAGGACATTTTATTTTTACATGATCATCAACTGTACATTACACTTCGCGGAGGTAGTCCACGTGTTAGCCGTGTATCGCCTATTCTTAATCGTTTCAGCACAGCTTCTTTTCTTCGCTCATTTCTCAAATGATATGGACCAAATTCGCTCCATGTTTTTAATTGTCCTTAATTTATTATCCGATGCCCCCTGTTGCCACCGTTGCCACATCCATATTTATCTGCTTCTTTTGGTGATGAGTCTACTATATTTCCTGCAATTCCGGAGCGAGAATTAATATATGAATCATTTCAGTTATTTGAATGCCGCCCTGATCGTTTTGGGCATGTTCACCGTCGGAATGCTTAAGCACCGGGCCGGGACGTGCAAATCTTCATGTTCTGCCGTCTGGTGGGGAACTCCCGTCAAGACATCTTGCCCAACCATTGAAGTCCCCACCATTTCCACTATATATTAATTCTCCTGCTTCCGAGCTTCCATATCAAACTGGGGTGGACTCTCTGTCGGACAATCCGGTTTGGTTTTTTTCTTATCCCGTTTGAAGGTTTGTATTCGGCTTTTATTATATTTGGGTGCGATGCGAACGAAGCCTAGTTTAAATAGACGCACTTACTCTAACCTTAAGTCTTATCTTAAAAATATTTTTATTAATTTAGAATAGAAAAGTTAAAATGGGTAAAGCTTCTAGTTTCTGGAGAGTGAAATGAATCTGTAATCGATCATTATATACATCCAATGAGATTAATTTTTTATATTCTTATTTTCATGAATATCTGAAGTCAAAATATAGAACTAGTATTTATTTTAAATTTATTCCGTTTTAAGACTATATGTCAAATTGCTCTACGACACATAGTAAGGGTGAACCGATTTTTTCCTTTTGATTTAAAAAAGTCTAAAAATTAATTGGTAAGAATCTGTATTATTTTTTAATGCTAATTGTATATTTAAAAGTTGGATTAAATATTATTTATTTGTTAGAGAATGAAACTATTTTCTTCATTATGCTAATTTCCCACTACACTATAATTGCCATACACTAAATTGATCTTTAAGTGTGTAAATCAATTTCTATATGTTTATGGTGGTCAAAAATAATGCAGGTTTTGAAAAGGTAGTCAAACTTATTTGTAATTTTTATAAAATAAAGAAAATCTATTCGAAATATGTTCCATCATAATCTATACATCTTTGCCAACGGTGTAATAAGCATTTTTATTCCGCTTACATAAAAATCTTTATTTCGACTCATAATCAAGTCTGGGAAGGCGTTTTCGGCTTCACCACATTGTCTAAAAATTTTATCCTTCAAGAAGTGATCAAAGTGCCTAAAAATGTGGAGTCTGTAGGTCGGGTGAAAATGGAGGATATGGTAAGGTTTCATATCCTAAGTCCTTAAGGTTCCGCAGGTCATTGTAGCATGTGACCTGGGGTTATCGTGAAGAAGAATGCTGGACACTTACGGTTTAAATGCTGGACAAAGGCGTTGCAGTTTCTTGTACATTTTGTCAATTTCTTGACAATATTTCTCTACTGTGATAGTTAATACGCCATAATTCAGGAAATTATAGTGAACAACCCCATTAATACACCACCAAACAGTCACCATAACCTTTTTGGGTGCAGATTTGGTTTCGTGAAGTGTTTTGTCCCTTCATCCTTGCCCAACAACTGACCTGTACGCCTGTTTTTATCGTACAGAATGCATTTCTGTTCGCAAGTGATGATGCGCAGTTTGGGCAGCACTTTGTACAAGTTGAAATTCGTAAAAATAAATTTAACGAAAATCCAGTTTGGACATATTTAATTCCGCAGGTCCTGACTCTTATAAAATTCAATATGTGCTAAACTGTTTCGAATAAAATATAACAGTCAATAATATGATCAATAAATTAGATTCAAGGATTTAGCTTTGTTTACGTGACAACCACCTGCTAAAATAAAACAAATTTTCGAAACCTGCATTAATTTTGTATCAATCCAATAATAATATTTTCTCACTGTCTGCCTGTTTGTTTGTTTTTCACTCGGTCATTCTTTCTCTACTTGTTCAGATTCAGTCAACAGAATGATAGATAGACAGATAGATAAATAGATAGATAGATAGATAGATAGATAGATAGATAGATAGATAGATAGATAGATAGAGAGAGAGAGAGAGAGAGAGAGACAGAGAGTGAGAGAGAGAGAGAATGAGAGAGAGACTGGATATAAAGATTAATATATAGATAGATAGTCATATAGATAGATTGATCAATAGCGATAAAAAGTGAGTGACAGAGAGCGAGCGAGAGTAAGATAGATATGTAGATAGAGAGATAAATAGTAAGAAAGGGAGAGAGACTAAGGGTGAGAGAGTGAGAGAGACAGAGGGAGAGAGAGAGAAAGAGAAGGAGAGAGAGAATAAGACTGTCATAGAAAAAGAGAGTGAGGGAGGGAGAGAAAGAGCGAGAGAGAGAGAATGAGAGAGGTAGTGAGTGACGGATAGATACCTAAACACCAAGAAAGATAGAGGTAAATAGTTAGCAAAAAAGAGAAAAGTTAGATAAATCTATAGAGCAGACAGAGATACTTCCTCTTTAAATATACTAAAGATTCTTATGTTTATTCTGTACAAACTAAGTTTTTTATTAATTTTTACGTATAGGACATGCAATAAATTGTCATTATGTTCGAGCATGTTTCTGTAATACACTTCCATTTTTATTTGGCTTATTTTAATTTACACGTTGTTTAATATAATTTTAGAAGAAATTGTTGTTATTAATTGTTTTAATTATATTTTTATTGTTGTTTAGGAGGGGGATGAATTGAGACGTTGGCGCTCCCATGCGGTGGCTCGCACTCAAACGGACCTACAGTCTAAAAACCGCTGTTCAAGAGGCAAGTTCGCTCGTTCCCCTTCTTCAACAAGTTGCGTATTCTCGCACGAAAATATTTTTTTGCAAAAATCCCAAATAGAAGTCAGACGAACTTTACGCACGACGACTGGACAAGCGAACTCTCCAACGGATTAGTAGGGGAAGAAAAGAGGAAAATATCCCTCCAAAAAAGAAGTCGGTTCAAAATTTTTTTATACGGAAAAAAAAAGTTTAAAACCGTTCGACCATTTCTGGACTGGCGATGAGGGAGTTTTCGGAGTGAAATATGAGTTTAGTGACTGATGGGGGTTCTGGAGTGCAAGGGTAGCGGCGGTGAGGGACAGCGATGGTTTGATGACAATGTTTGAGGCTGGAGCCACGACATGGCTCATAGTGTTGGTGTCAGCGGCAGTTCTAGCTTCTGGCCCCTCACATTTAGCAAACATGACAGGCTCGGGCCGAAAAATACGCATCTTTTTGAACAAACATTATCTACAATTGAATTCCAACGGCACCGTCTCCGGCGCTGACGACCAAACTGTAACGAGTGAGTCTTTTTTTATATATATTTTAAACAAGCATGTTAGATATACAATAGACAAAAAAACAACAAATATTTTATATTGCTAATCGTAGCTGTATGTTAATTTTTTGTTGAAAAATGTTAAAATTTATCAAACACGATACCATTATGCAGCTTATTTTAATTTAAATTTAAAACAACAAAACAAAATTTACCTAATTAAATCTTCAATTTTCAGTATCATAGTCAAGTTAAAAATTGAATATTATTTCGGTGATGATTGAAACCGATTTTTTTATTTATACAGCAAAACGATAATTTGTAGGAAGCTAACGGTCCTAAGCTTCTTGACGGTCAACAAAGATTCTCAGATAGTTTGGCACTAGCTTAAATTCTCAAAAAATTCCAATTCGTCTAATTAAATTGCCTCGGCCGGACAATTTTTTTCAAAAAGTTTACAACGTGTTTTGTAACCGCAAGCTGCCCGTCCGGTTTTGGCCGTGGCCGGTGGACAGTCGATCGTAAAACTGTGATCTTCTTACCTTCATCAAACTTCATCTGTGTAGTGCAAAATTAGATCTAAATTTTGAAACGATTCTGTGACAGGCGTGTCTTAAAAAATTCCCTCTTTAAATAATTTATTAAAGTTTTAAACGTTTTACTCTCTTTTACTTTCTCTTTATCACTCACACTCTCTCGCTCTCAAGGGCGGCGAGAATTTATCTTTATCATTTGTTGGCTTAGATTCAATTGAATTTTACACTCGAAGCTTACACAATTGTTGTCTACGTGAGAGAACACACGTACGACTTTAAACCCGTTGTGCAGAATTTCTGCAACAATTTTTCCGACATCTCGCCGTGGATTTTAACCTTAACCCAGTTGAGGGATATTGAACTCGTTCAGCCTTATGCAGAAATCCCGAGACTCGTCCTTGGTGTCACATTAAGATTAGGGCAATTTGATGTACATTTTAAACCATCCTTTAAATTCGTCAAGTTTTGTTGTTTTGAAAGCCTTAGACTTTGGATAAAATATCACTAATTACAATGTTAAATAAAAATAATATTTAACGGAATATTTTGGAAATTATTTGTATGTCTAAGTTTGCCGAAATTTTTAAGAGAGCTTTAAAGTCGTGAAGTCAATTCGGTAATTGATTTGTTGAAAAAGGCCGATAAGTTCTTTCAAGTCCAACAGGAGGAAATAAGGATAATAATTTGCAAAAGAAACGGTCTGTTATTAATTTTATCACATACTTAAATTTCTGATGGTTTTTAAGGATGAGTAAAGCAAAAACGTATTTTTAAATTTTAAGAGAGCTTTAAAGTCGTGAAGTAAAAACGGTGACTGATTTCTTGAAAAAGGCCGATAAGCTCCTTCAAGTCCAATAGGAGGAATTAAGAATAATAATATGTCAAAGAAAGGTCAGTTATTAATTTTATCACATACTTAGATTTTTTATGGTTTTTAAGGACGAGTAAAGCAAAAATTATCCAAAATTTTAAGAGAGGTTTAAAGTCGTGAAGTAAATTCGGTGAGTTATTTGTTTAAAAAGGCCAATAAGTTCCTTTAAGTCCAACATGAGGAAATAAGGATACTATTGTGTAAAAGAAACGGTCGGCTATTAATTTTATCACATACTTAAATTTATTATAGTTTTTAAGGACGTATGAAGCTAAAACGTATTTTCAAATTTTGAAGAGGGCTTTAAAGTCGTGAAGTAAAATCGGTGATTGATTTGTTAAAAAAGGCCGATAAGTTCTTTCAAGTCCAACATGAGGAAATAAGATAATAATTTGCAAAAGAAACGGTCTGTTATTAATTTTATCACATACTTAAATTTATTATAATTTTTAAGGACGTGTGAAGCAAAAACGTATTTTTAAATTTTGAAGATAGCTTTAAAGTCGTGGAGTAAATTCGGTGATTGATTTGTTGAAAAAGGCCGATAAGCTCCCTCAAGTCCGACGGGATGAAATAAGTATAACAACAAGTAAAAGAAACTTTCATGATGGCTTTTCGCTTACTTAAATTTATTATAGTTTAAGGAAATCATAGGAAAAACTTTAACCAAATTTTTAGATAGCTTTCAAAGTTTTGTTGAAAAAGGTCGATCCGTTCCCTCAAGTCTAACAGGACGAAATAAGGATAATAATATGTAAAAGAAACGTTCAGTAATTAATTTTATGATAAACTAAATATCCTTATGGGTTTTAAGGACGTATAAAGCAAAAACGTATTCAAATTTTAAGAGAGCTATAAACTCGTGAAGTAAATCGTTGATTGATTTGTTGGCAAAGGGTGATAAGCTTCTGATGGGATGAAGTAAGGATAATAATATGTAAATTCAAGAATTTTTTTTCACATATTCAAACTACTTATCGCTTATGGAAGTTAAATATACAATTTTGTCCAAAATGTTAGGGAAATCCTGAAATCGTGAAGAGATTACTCAAGATTATTAGAGAGATTTCTTCGATAGTTGATTTTATTGAAAAACGGATGCTTCGAACGAAATAAGGATAATATGTAAAAGAAATGTTCAGTTATTAATTTTATCGCGTACTTAAATTTTGTTATATTTTTTTGAGGAAGTGTGAGTAAAAATAAAAACTAGCTTTTTTGCTTAGTCATGGTTTTTAAATCTTTTTTAGAGCGCTTAAGGCAAAAATGTATTAAAAAATTTTAAGAGAGCATTAAAGTCGTGAGAAAAATCGGCGCTTGATTTGTTGAAAAAGTCGATAAGCTTCTTGCAATCCGACAAACCGAAGTAAGGATAATTATTCGTATGTAAAATAAATATCCGACGATGCTATGGGAAAGACTATTTGTTCGATCGGCCTAGTGTGAATTCACAGCTATTTAGTTCGTAAAGTGCTGCAATGAATAGTTCGTTGATCTCTTGTTTAAACGGCATGGGGTGATCTGTTTTATTGGCACACGTCAGTCTGAAGGGGATTACAGTGAAAAGCGTAGGCGTTTTAAGCTTATTTTCCCGATGCCAAGTTTCTTTTGAAGTCTGGCGAAAAACTATATGGTATTTGGTGAATTCAATCGAGTCGATGAAGATTGAAATCTACTTGACAAACTGTTTTTTTATTTTTTATTTTTTAACGACAGGATTGGAAGTAGGCTACCGGTGTTTCGGAATATGAGTTTGATGTAGGTGGGCGTTTGCTTTCGCTTCTCACATCTCCACTCGAACTCTATATTTTATTTTTAATTATAGTTATTTCGTGAATAATTATGCCTCCGTATGAATAGTATGCCGTTCCGGAGAAAGGAAAGAAAGTAGGATGTGTAACGAGTAACAGACGATAAAAGAAATGGAGAATCGAGCGGTAATTAGTTTGCCACTTTTAGAGAAGAGATAATTCACAACAAGTTCCATATCGCCTTTTACAAGTGTCTCAAATTTTAAAAAAAGTTACGTAAATCCGTTTATGTCCTTACTCAGATCATAATTATACTCTTGGCTTTCGAGATTCAAGATAAACTCCCAGACTTGCCGGTTTGGATCTATACAGAATCAATCAATCAGGATGAAATTATTTTTTAATCACCCTTTATAGTCAATATTAGCCTAGGGTGGACGATTAACGTGGGGTATGGGTATCGCATCAATCTCTGGAAGGAAGTGGGTCATGTAATTTGAAGAGATCCCCTTCGGGCGCATCCTTGTCGACTGATGTTAAACTTCAGTTCTCGTCCTATATTACACGACTTTAATCTATTATATAAAAGTTTACTTCATAACACGAACAGCCCAAAAAATTGTCATAGGAAGTAAGATTTGAAATCGGAAACCGATGACCCGAGAATAGACGTTCAATAAAAAATGCGAAACGGCTCAAGGAAGGGTGAAGCTCCTCCAAGAAACTTTAGAAAGAATGCCCAACACGGATTCTTTCGGTAGGATCCGTTCCCACAACACTCCATTCCAATACATTTTAATCGGTTCCACTTGTCTACTGTAAACAACGAGCTACCGAGTGTCTCACTGCCGAGGCCGAGGCGAAAAAAAGAGGACCGGAGATAAATAAATAGGGACTAGGCTAACTGATGTGACAGTAAGTAAGTACGTAAGTGCCTCTCTCACAGGCTACACTACTCTTCTTGAGTGAGAACGAAATATTGCCCACCAGCCCCCGACCAACTAAAGGGCCACAGAAATTTTACACTTCTTTGACTTCTTTACTATTCGGTCCAACGGCTTTAGATAACGGGTTTTTGGATAGTAGTTCGCCTACAGTAATTATGCCCCGCTCTTGTTTCCCTTTCAAATTACTTTTTAAAGGTGTCTGTTTTCCAACTTCACGCAATTTCCTTTATGTACATTGCAAAAAGTCAATAGCGAGTTTTATTATTTCTGTACTTCGGTTGTTTCAGAGCATTTTAGCCTCTCTGACGCATTTCGGTTTCTCGCCATCTTCAGTATGCTATTTTGTAATAAATTATGTAAAATGACATGCTCAGTAATTATCTTCGAATCCTCCTATTGTATAACAGAACCTTTATTGATGATGTCGAAAAGGCCAAGCTGAACAAAAACTTCCCCAAACTACAGATCATTTATGGTTATTATTTTCTTTTTAACACCCGGTTTTTATTTTGAAACTGAGTTTTGAAAAATGATAACGAACTTATGCCTGACGTTATCGAACGTTAATGTAGGTATTTGGCCTGTGAATGGATGAACTCATGTTGAACTGGTCACTAGACAGAGTTTAGTCTCGCTGGTTTATTACGTTACTTATATGCGTTCGATTTCACGCCATCTTCAGTTGTAGACCTGTGTGTATTTTAGTTATAAATAATATAAAATCAGATGCACATTACGTTCCAGTAATATAACAGAACTTCACTGATGAAGGCGAAAAGCAATATTTATTTGTGTTTATTACTTACTTTTTAAAACCCGATTTTTATTTTGCAACTGAGTTAACTGAGATTTAAGGACTTTTGCAAAGTATCAATCAATTACGGTTGTAAAGTGGTTAGATGTTACCAGAAAATAAGCT